GCTCACTTCTCTCAAAACTCGTGGACCTTGCGCTTTGGGATGTTCAGAGGGAAAACCCCCGTGCCCCCTGTAAAATGGTGGCGACGCTTCGAAGTAGTTTGCAAAAACACGCGAAAGAGTATTACCAGGCCGTTGTACGGCAATTTGATCAGTTGTTGCAGTCTTTACGAGATCATGGGGCTGCGGTGTTAGATGGGCAAAAGGTTTTTTTTGCCTGTCCACACAAAGACGGTTCGATGGTGGAACTTTTTCCCAACGGCATATCTGTCAGGGTCACCGCAGAAAATTACAAGTGCTTTTTAAATTTGGTTTCGGGTATGCGACAGAAAGTGCCAGCTCGGCTGCGTGACTTGCCGATTGACCCCACGCTGCACCTCAGTGGGGACTATTACCCAGTGGCCTGCTTTATTGTGGACCACCTGCTGAACTCCAACTCGGAGTGGTACATTGACAATGAGGAAGACTGGAACGCCCTCAATGTGACTTACTGCGTGCCGTTCAATGGCCAACTCCTTGATGTTTACCCCGGCATGCGTGACGAGCCGGTTCCCTACTGCGACGCCAAACATTTTGGAATTGGGACAAAGAAGTCATTGCAGCACCTAATGAAAGTTTCTCAGCCCCCCATCCAATCCTTTTCTCCCTCTATGGGAGAAGTTTATCCTCAGCTGTCAATGATCTCACGCGGATACTTTGATTTTTTGCAGGCGTTGGGAAGGACGAATAGACCGTTTGGGATTCCCCTGAGTGTGGAGGAATTTAACGCCATTGGCCTCACATACAGTGTACCGGTAGGAAACACCTTTGTCCCCCTCATTCCTGGTAGGGAAAATGAACGCGTGGCTTTCGAAGACAAGGAACTTTTTGTGATGTTGGCAACGGAGAAGTTGATGGAAACGATGATGCCGTCAGGCCACACACCAAATATTCCCCTTCTGCCGCATTCATTGATGGATAAAATACCGCCATTGGAGAAAAGGTTTTGGGACATCATTGAAACCATCAAAAAAGATCCGGCCAAAGCTGTGGGCTTTTGTTTTGCAATTAGAGTTCTTGGTCACGATGTTTTTCTAAAAGAGAGGGGCGACACTATCGGTGTGACTGAAGAAAACGTGGAGGAGTACCTTGACCTTCTCTATCAAAAAAAGGAGATGATTCACGCCGCATTTGTTCAAAGCGAAATTCAAAAAATGGAGACGCAGGCGATGTCATTTAATAATTTATCACCTTCCCCTGAAAAGGTGAAGGAATCGTTTAAACGATACCCACCACAGAATTCCCCTCTGTGGAACACGTTCACGCTAGACTCAGGGGATGCTAACAATGAGATCTTCCAGATTGCGAATAATATCCCATTTAGCAAGGAGAACATGACGCAAAAAGAATATGGAGGGCCATTTTTCTTTGCAATTCCTATTGTTGGGAAAGGGCTTTACAAGATCTTACCCCATGGAGAAGGGATTCCAGTGACGTGGTCAAATCACGAGGAATTTTTGGAACGAGTTGAATATGAAAAGAAACGCCTGGATCTCAGGACGTCTACTGCATGTAAGCAATCCCTGTCTGCGGCTGAACAAGAAGATCCCGTAATGGGAATTTCTAGTTACATGCGATGCCAGCAGCGCGGAGCATACCATGATCCTTCTTTAGGATCGATGAGAATCACGACGAGGGCCACACTTGATGAAATTGACATGTATAAAAGGAATCTTTTATTACTAAAACGGGATAAAAATCGAGTGTCTACGCAAACTTTTGAGGATTTGGGCCTCAGATACACGTTAACTGTGGCAGGAGAAGAGGTGGAATTAGTGAAGGATGGCCGGCAACAATTTGTGGCGATACATGAGTTGGATAATTATATAGAAATGGCTATTTGTAAGCTGGATGAATTGCGACTTTACATCCTTCAGCAGAATGAAGTGTATGCGCATGGCTCGGATCTGACAGGACAACAATCCCAGAAAAGGAATAATAATTTTCGGCAGGAGCGTACGAAAGGTGTGACCTCTACGTTTTCCCCACAGTCTTGTTGGGTGGATGTTCTTTCCCATGCAAATAGTACGAGCCTCTTGCATCAATGACCCACGCCCACCCCCTACACACACATAAATACACATACACATACACGTTTACCAAACAATGAAGAGAGGCGAAGAAATAAAAATAAATAAATATGGATGTTGTTTTCTGGCATTTGGAAAGGGTGGAAGTTGGTGTGGGCTGCAAGCAACCCTTTACTTCCCCATTAGTGATTTTCCTGCCCTTGAAGAATAACAAACACACCAGGACGGTGCCACCCGGAATATATACATATATACATACATATCATGTAAAAAAAAAAAAAAAAAGAAGAAAGAAATGAGGAGGGCTTTTGTCACCCGCATTTTTTCATTTTATTTTTATTGTTTTTTTCTTTTTTGCGAGGGGGGAGAAGGGAGCAAATTTAACTCACTTATTTTCTCTTTCCTTTTTTTTTTTGCTTCGCTGTGCCCGTGCATTTGCGTTTGGGGTTCGTCACGGGTACGTGTCTGTCAAAGGGGAAGCAATAATCGTGAAAGAAATCTGGGAGGACATGAACATGTCTCTTTGGTTTCATGGCACTACCAAATGAAGAAAAGGGGTTGTAATATCAGTTGTTTTTTTTTTTTAAGTGGCTTTTTATTATTAATTATTAGAGGCTACGTCATGTTATATTACGGTGAGAATGCGGGAAAAGCCCCCTCTCCCTCTCCCCAGGTGTATTTATTGTTCCACGTCATGTATTCTTTCTTGACCGTCTCTACCTTTGTAGCATGAGTAAAGCCACCACGGATGATGGCGTAATAATGATTGAAAACAACATAGCGTTCTGCTTTGTTAGCGTTTTACCGTATTTTTATATTTTGTTTGTGTGCTTTTTCTCTGATTTTAGTTTTCCCTCTTCCTTCCTTTTTTTTTCTTCTTTCTTTTCGTTTTGTTGGGGAAAAGGAAATGTGTGGGCACAATGAACTCATTTTCTTCTCCCCTTCGTTTTGTTGAAATTCGTTTCGTTTTCTGTGAAAACACCAAAAAATATATATTTGCCTTTCTTTTGTTTTATTGCGGTTTTTTTTTTTTTTTCCTTTCTTTTATATTTCTTTCTTTTTTTTCTTTCATGCATGATTTGTTTCTCACTTCGAATGCAACTGATTGCCCGTTTCTTTCCTTCGGGTGCCCCATCTGTCCCGTGCCAGGCAGCGGATAGATGCATGTGCATCTCTGGAGAGAGGAAGAGGGATTTGATGTTTGGTATGCACACTTGATTTCTACTAAATCCGTCAGGGGGGAAAAAAGGGGATTTTGTTTTGTTTTCTTTAGAAGTGGGCATCTTTACAGTCCGTGTGCTTTTTATTTTAGTTTCTTTTTTTTTTTTTTTTTGTGTGTGTGTGCTTTTGGCTTCCGCTCTATCCGCCTCCCTGTATGGCTGTTACCAACACCCACCAACAGCACGCTGAAAGGTGCGGTTGTGGGGGAAAAAAGTGGTGCCTGGTAATGACGGTAAAAACGAAAGTGTTGTTGTTGGATTGCGGAATTCTTTTGATTGCCAGCAAGACGGCTCCCCTTTGTATATATATATTACGTATGCTTACTATTATTATTATTGTTTGTTTGTTTGTTTGTTTTTACTTTTTCGGTGTTTCTTTAAAGAGAAGACGGAGACGGGCGTGTTCAGTTGTATCAAGACGAGTGGGGGCATGTTAACATGCCGGGGCCGTTCTCTTCTTCTTTTTTCTTTTGTGAAGCTCTATTCTACCCTCTCAAAAGTGTTTCAAGTGGAGCCGAGTAAACGAGCGAGCAAATGTACAGTTAAGTCATGGAGTACGATCGAGCATCGCGGGTGGGCGGTGGGGAGAGAGAAAAAAAAATGTGCGATGCCGCAAAGATGAAGGGGATAGAACCGTCACAATGTCCTTTTTTTTTTTTTGGAATGGGGGGCTGCCAGTTTTTGTCTTGTCCCTTTGGAGATGATCTTTGCCGTGTCGTCTTCTCCAGACCTATAAGTTCGGGCGCACGCATTCTCTTTTCCTTTTTTTCCTTTTTGATTTTTTTCCCTCTTTTTTTTGTTGTTGTTTTTTATTTGGCACCGGACACAATTGCGTCCACTTCTTTTTTTTTTTTTTTTTTTTTTTGTGTGTGTGGCAGCAGCGTCAATTGCAGGAATTCATGACGACTCTTGTGCGAAGGAGTGGAATAGAAATAAAGCAACTCATGGGAGTTTCCCTCCTTTTGGGTCTTTTTGGCTCGCTCTGTATTTCAGGGGTGACAAGCCTACCAACCACCGTGGCCATGACCTTCCTTTGTTATCTCTCCGGTATTGTGCCAGAAAATGACTACTTTCCGCGGGTATGGTTTAAAAACAATATTTTCACTTGGGTGTATCGTATTTATTGCTCCGATTCCATTGGGTACAAGTATTTGCGACCGATGCTGCACGTACGTCATGGTCTTCCCCACTCCGACTATCGTCATGGCGTGCGATCTCTGAGTGGTGGTCACAAGGCATCGTCGTTATTTCCTGTAGAATTGAAGAAAAACCCGGAGTTTTACGAACGCGGCGGTGGATTGGTTGATCTGAAGGGTCTCGGTGAAGAGTACAAGAAAGGCTACAGAGGAGTCGCAGTTGTTCCGGTCCCTCTTCTGGCGGACAATTACGCATACTTGATTTTGAGTTTTTCGACGAAAAAGTGTGCTGTGGTCGATCCAGCTGACCCCAAACTCGTAATGTACATGCTGACCGTTGTCCGATACTTAACCGGGGTAGAATTCGTACTGACGGACATTCTTACCACTCACAAACATTGGGATCATGCTGGGGGGAATCTGGAGTTCATGCAGCGTTTACAGAACAAGAGTGATGCAGAGACCACAGAACTCTTGGATGCTCAGTTGAAGATTTATGGTTCCGCAATTGACAATCCTCATGCGTGTACCAACTTTGTAGAGGACGGCAATGTGCTGACGGTTGCTGGTGGGGGCGTGACGGTTGCTGTTTTTTCTTCTCCCTGGACACACCGTTGGCTCCGTAAAATTCCTTTTAGGAGATGCTCTCATGGATTCTGATGTTCCACAGCGCTT